TGAATTATCGAACCCAGGAGAGAGGTGGTGGGTGCTCTGGGAGGAACGGTTGAAGAAAGGGCTGGAGGAAGGCAACATGTCTGGCCTGGCAGGAATAGGCCTTGGGTTACTGCTGGTAATCCTGTCTTCCCCTTGTAGGGTTAGAGGAGGTCAGAACATGTGGCCTCCTTGTCGTTTTTGCAGTTAGGTATTAAACCAACTAATCACATGGAATCTTTTAAACCAATAAAACTCCTCTTAATGAAAATCTTTGGATTTTCTTTGGAGGGGTCGCTATGAGTCGGGGCCAACTTGACGGCACATAACAACAACAACAATAATGTTAGGAGGCGCTCTGGTAGTGCAGTGGTTAAGGCATTTGGCTACTAACTGGTGGTTCAAACCCACCAGTTAGTTCCTCTGTGGGAGAATATAAGGCAGTCTGCTTCCATAAAGATTTTGTTGTTGTTATTGTTATGTGCCATCAAGTAGCACCTGACTCATGGGGACCCCCTCCTTGGGTTTCCAAGGCAGTATCACTATGGAAGTAGATTGCCCAACCTTCCTTCTGAGGAGTGGCTGGTGGGTTTGGACCGCCAGCCTCCTGGTTAGCAGTCAAGTGTTTTAGGCTACCAGAGCAGCCTTGGAAACATTGTGGGGCAGCTCTACTCTGTCCTACAGGGTCACTATGAGTTAGAATCGACTGGATGGCAGTGAGTTTTAATAATGTTAGGCATGAAATAATGTTGTATGTAGTCAACTAAATACAACAAATTTTGTATAAAAGACTAAAATTGTCTTCTAACTAAGAGAATAGTCAATTATTTTCTCCATTTTACAGAAGGGGAAATTGAGACTCAGAGAAGCAGTACCCTCCACACCCTATATCCAAAACATTATTATGAACTCAGTTTTCTTAAAATACAATTTGATGGTTAAAATGATAGCTATATTAGAATAGATGAAATGGTAGTAGCAATCCCTCCCAGTTCATTTTCAAAGGACAGTGATAATGTATGAGTCTGTCATACCTCAAACAGTACATAGCCAAATCCTTTGCCAATACCAGTCACTTGGTCTCTCATAATTCTCACAGCCACAATACTTCCACAGTCCAAAAAATGTTCCTCAACAGCAGATTCTTCAATTTCTGAAATAAAATATAGCCAAAACAGAAATTAAGACTTGGAATCCCCCTAGAAAGCTGGAAATTTTTCATAATAAAATTTACATATCCAAAACAAAAAAGCCAAACCCACTGACATTAGGTAGATTCTGTCTCAGAGTGACTCTGTAGATAGCCATGAAAATTAGTCTATTTATACTTCATTCTTCATTCATTTTTCCCATATTTTAATAATAAACAGGTACCTTATTTATTTAAAGAAACTTACTGTAAGGGAGATTCCCCACAAATACTGATCTCTTGTCCCTCTGAAACACAAAGAGAGTTAAGAAAAAAACACACAAGCAGAAGGCATCCTAAAATCCACCCTTTCCTTCACACTCTCCCATGCAGGCCTGGTTATTCCTCCTGAATTAGCTACCCATCTCTCTCTCATCTCGTTTGATGATGTACTTATTCCATCTTCCCACCTGGGCTATGAGTGAGTGCCACCAGAGTGAGTGATGTTTTATTCACAGCTGGCACTAACAAATGGTGGTGCTCAAGAAAGGCTTGCTCTATTAGGGTAGGCAAAGTTTGTATATAAAGGGCCTTGTGGTCTCTGTCACCAACTACTCAACTCTGCTGTTAAAGCAAGAAAGCTGCTACAGACAATAGGTGAATGAATAAGAGTATCTATGTTGCAGTAAGGACCTCTGGTGACATAGTGCCTCAGGCACTTGACTGCTAACCAGAAGGTTAGTGGTTCAAACCCACCAGCAGCTCCACGGAAGGAAGAGGAAGCAATCTACTGCCATAAAGATTTACTGCCTCGTTGGGACCATAGCTGCAGAGGACATAAAGCTCAATTGGCATAACATGCTACATAAAAACATTGTTCCACATCCTACTTTGACAAGCAGCAACTGGGGTCTTAAAAGCTTGCAAGCAGCCATCTAGATGCAATGATGGATCTCCCCTCATCCAGAGCAAAGAAGAATGAAGAAAACCAAAGACACATGGAAACAATTAGTCCAAGTGACTGGTACACCATGTGATCCTCAGCCTAAATGAGTATGAGACCAGAAGAACTAGATAGTGCCCAGCTACCACTGTCAACCACTCAGAGAGGGATCTATGTAGGAGATCTTGGATAGAGTGGGAGAACAATGTGGAACAAAACTCAAAATCATTTGGAAAAAAAAAAAAGACCAGGTTTGCTGGTCTGATAGAGCCTGTTCGAACCACTGAAACTATGGCCCCTGGCTGCCCTTTAGGTCTGGAATTGAACTCACACCTGTGGCTTCCAGCCAAACAAAAGATAGGCATATGAGCTGAACATTTACAACAGACAGATATACTCCTTGGAGAGATCAATCATGGGAGAATAGAAGGGCTGTGTATGCACAGGGAGATAGCCTGGGGGCAGGAGTGCAGGGAAGAGGTAACTATTGGGAGGAAGTGGGAAGGGAGCTGTTGCATTGTGGTAAATTGGAGTCAATGTCATGAGACAAAGTATATGTGAGTGTTGTATGGAAAGCAAATTAGTTCTGTAAATTTCCACCCAAATCACAATAAAAATTTAAAAACAAACAAGTAAAGATTTACCACCTCAGAAACTCAATAGGGGTCACTATGAGTTGGAATTGACTCGATGGCAGTGACTTTATTTTTTTGGTATGTTCCAATAAAACTTTATCAACAAAAATGGTGGTGGGTGGATTTAGCAACCACAGGTTTTCTGACCCCTGTGTCATATCCAATAAAAGCCAGTACTTTCGTCCAGGTCTTTTTCATTTCTAAACTAAGTTACTCTGACAGCAACTGAAAATGAACTCTGTTTCTGTGGCAAACACTTATAATCCTTCCCTCACTTCCAGAGAGACCTTTGCAAAAGGTGTATTTTGCCACCTCACTCCCTTGTTTAAAATTTTAAAACAGCTGCTAGACAAAATCCAAACCCATCAGCATGGCAACCAAGGGTATTCATGTTTTGGCTTCTATTGCTCCAGCACACCTCGTCATTGTCTCCTGTACCTCATACTTTCTATCCATAGGAAGCTCTTGCCATTCCCTTGGCAAATTACGGTGTGTGTCCCCATCATTCATGCTGATGTTCTTGCCCAGATGTGCCCTTCAGCTTTTTTTTTGAGGGTGGGGATGGGGAGAAATGAGGAGGGAATGGCTTGAACAACATCTTACTCATCTTTCAAAACTGATTTAAGACCTGTTTTCTTGGAATCCTTCCTTGACTCTTGCTTGCACCTACCCAAGTTAAATGCCCCTTTCCTGTGCTGACTAAGAGCATCCTGTGCATTTATCATATATTTACCATAAAATCACGTAATGATCTGTTTATCTTATTGTTTCCACCTTTATACTGTGGGCTTCTAGAGAACTAAGACTGTCCTATCAGTATACTAGACACAGAGGAGATATACAAATAATGCTTAGTGAATGATTGAACTTTCTTGACCTCAGTCTATAAAATGTCAGACCAGATGACTTCTAATGTTTCTGCTTGCCATAATATTCTAGGAATATTCAATCTAATAGCTGGGGTGGGGGAAGTATTCAAGCAGAAGAGACTTTATTTTTTAAACTAATGTTGACTAAAAGCCCTTGTGCCACTCTAAGCACCACTACTATTACCACAGGGGAGAAAGACTGTTTTCGTTTGTGATTTTCCTTATGCTCACACTACTAATTCCACTCCCCTCAGCAAAAGCTTTGAAGGAAATACTTTTCTCTGCAAAGTTACAGTTAACTTCTTGTAAACAAAATTAAATACTACTTACAGATGAGCTCTCAGATGCAAGATCAACTCTAATATGAAATCCATCTGCAATTTGGGTCCCATTTCTATAAATATAAGGGAAAATGATTAAAAGTGAGCACTGAGTTATTGTAATATTAGCTTTAAAGAAAACAGAATAAAAAACGTACTCACACATATTTAAATACAATGTTGTTGTTTTTAGGTGCTGTCAACTCAGCTCCAACTCATAGCCACCCAACGTACAACAGAACGAAACACTGCCCGGTCCTGCGCCAGCCTTACAATCCTTGCTATACCTGACCCCAAAGTTGCAGCAACTGGGTCAATCCATCTCGATGAGGTCCCTTCCCCTTTTTCGTCGACCCTCCACTTTACCAAGCATGATATCCTTCTCCAATGGTCCCTTCTGACAACACGACCAAAGCAGGTGAGGCAAACCGGCCATTCTTGTTTCTAAGGAGCATTCCAGCTACACTTTTTCAGGAGAGATTTGTTCATTCTTCTGGTTGTCCATGGTATTTCAGTATTCTTCACCAATAACACAACTCAAAAGCATCAACTCTTCTTCAGTCTTGTTATTCACTGGCCAGCTTTCACAAGCATATGAGGAGACTGAAAATACTATGGCTTGGGTTAGGAGCACCTTAGTCTTCAAAAGACATCTTTGCTCTTCAAAACTTTAAAGAGGTCTTTTCCAGCCGATTTCCCCAGTGCAATAAGCTGTCATCTGATTTCCTGACTGCTGTTTCCTTCAGTGTTGATTGTGGAACCAAGTAATATCAAATCTTTGACAACTTCAATCTCTTCTCCATTTATCATGATGCTGCTTATTGGTCCACTTCTGAGGATTTTCATTTTCTTCATGTTCAGGTGTAATCCAAATTGCAGACTGTAGTCTTTAATCTTCATCAGTAAGTGCTACAAGTCATTTTCACTTTCAGCAAGCAAGGCTGTGTTGTCTGCATGTTAACAACTCTTCCTCCAATCCTGATGTTGTGTTCTTCTACATATAGTCCAGCTTCGTGGATTATCTGCTCAGCACACAGATTGAATAAGTATGGTGAAAGGATATACTCCTGGCACACTCCATCCTGATTTTAAACCATGCAGTACCCCCTTGTTCTGTTCGAACAACAGCCTCCTGGTCCATGTACACATTCCTCATGAGCACAATTAAAACCCCACTGCCACTGAGTCAATTTTAACTCCTAGAGACCCCCATTGGGCTCCCAAGGCAGTAAATTTTTACGGAAGTAGATTGCGCTGTCTTCCTTTCACAGAGTGGCTGGTTTGAACCGTCAACCTTCTGGTTAGCAGTTAAATGCCTTAGGCACTGTGTCACCAAAGCTCCTTTCATGAGCACAATTAAGTGTTCTGGAATTCCCATTCTTCTCAATGTTATCCATAATTTGTTATGATCCACAGAGTCGAATGCTTTTGCATGGTCAATAAAACAGAAGTTAACATCTTTCTGGTATTCTTTGCTTTCAGCCAAAATCCATTTGACACCAGCAATGATATCCCTTGTTGTATGCCCTCTTCTGAACCCAGCTTGCACTTCTGGAAGTTCCCTATCAATGTACTGCTGCAACTGTTTCTAAATTATCTTCAGTAAGATTTCACTTGTGTGTGACACTAATGATACTGCTTGACAATTTCCACATTCTGTTGGATCACTTTTTTATGGAATGGGTACAAATAGGGATCTCTTCTAGTCAGTTGGCCAGGTAGCTGTCTTCCACATGTCTGGATTCATAAGTAAGTGCCTCCACCACAGCATCTGATTGTTGAAATATCTCAATGGGTATTCCATAAATTCCTAGAACTTTGTTTTTCACCAATTTCTTCTATTCAGTTTCTTCCTTCACTACCATTGGTTCTTGATCATATGCTACCTCCTGAATTAGATGAACAGTGACTAAGTCTTTTTGGTACAGTGACTGTGTATTCCTTCAATCTTTTATTTATTTATTTATTTTTATGTTTCCTGGATCATTCAATATTTAGCCCATAGAATCTTCCAGTACTGCAAGTCAAGGCTTGGATTTTTTTTCTTCAGTTCTTTCAGCTTGAGAAATGCTAAGTGTGTTCTTCCCTTTTGGTTTTATAACTCCAGGTCTTTGCACAATTCATTGTAGTAACTGACTCCGTCTTCTTGAGCTGCTCTCGAAATCGTCTATTCAGCTCTTTCATCTTATCATTTCTTCCATTTGCTTTAGCTACTCTCCATTCAAAAGCAAGTTTCAGAGTCTCTTTTGACACCCATTTTGGTCTTTTCTTCCTTTCCTATCTTTTTAATGACCTTTTGCTTTCTTCATGGATGATGTTCTTGATGTCATCCCACACTTCATCTGGTTTTTGGTCACTGGTGTTCAATGAGTCAAATCTATTCTTCAGATGTTCTTTAAATTCAGGAGGGATATAACCAAGGTCATATTTTGGCTCTCGTGGACTTGAACTTGCATATGAGCAACTGATGGTCTGTTCTACCGCCAGCACCTGGCCTTGTTTTGGCTGAAGATATTGAGTTTCTCCATAGTCTCTTGCCACAGATGTAGTTGATTGGATTCCCGTGTATTACATCTAGTGAGGTCCATGTGTATAACGACCATTTATGTTGCTGAAAAAAGGTATTTGCAAAGAATAAGTCATTGGTCTTACAAAATTCTATCATGTGATCTCCAGCATCATTTCTATCACCAAGGCCGTATTTTCCAACTACTGGAGATTCTTTAGTTTCCAACTTTTACATTCCAGTCACCAGTAATAATGAACACACCTTGATTATATGTTTGGTCAATTTCAGACTGCATTAGTTAGTAAGTCTTCAGTTTCCTTGTCTTTGGTGGTTGGTGCATAAATTTGAATAGCAGGAGTATTAACTGGTCTTCCTTGTAGGCATATGGATATTATCCTATCACTGACAGCACTGTACTTCAGGATATTTCTTGAAACATTTTTTGTGACAATGAATGCCACACCATTCCTCTTCAATTTGTCACTCCCAGTATAGATCATATGGTTGTCTGATTTAAAATGGTTTAAACCAGTCCATTTCAACTCACTAATACCTAGAATATTGATCTTTATGCATTCCACTTCATTTTTTATAACTTCCAACTTTCCTAGATTCATACTTCGTAGATTTCATGTTCCAATTATTAATGGATTCTGTAGATGTTTCTTCCCATTTTGAGTCATGCCACAGCAGCAAATGTAGGTCCCAAAAGCTTTATTCCGTCCATGTCATTAAGATCGACTCTACTTTGAGGAGACAGCTCTTTCCCAGTCGTATTCTGAGTGCCTTCTGACCTGTGGGCTTCATCGTCCAGTACTATATCAGACAATGTTCCAGAGCTATTCACAAAGTTTTCCAGTAATGTATCAGACAGTGTTTCACTGCTATTCATAAGGTTTCCACTGGCCAATACTTTAAAAAGTGGACGGCCCCTTCCTTCTTCTGAGTCTGTCTTAGTCTGGAAGCTCTGCTGAAACCTGTCCACCATGGGTGACTCTGCTAGTATTTGAAATACCAGTGGCATAGCCCCAGCCTCACAGGAACATGCAAGCCACCGTAGTACAACAAACTGCCTTAAATACAGTAACTCTGTTTAAACCTTTAAGAAATAAAATTACCTTTTCAATGCTTTTGTAGCAGCACTGACATCCTTAAATACAACATAAGCATTAATATTTTTCTGATCAGGATGAATTTTACGTCTACATCAAAGAAAAAAGAAAAAAAAATTTGTTAATCTCAAAGCTGCTAAAATAAATACAGCTTTTTTTTTTCTATTTTCAATCAATACATATAGAAGAAATACTGGGGGGAAATTTCATTTCTTTGAACAAATACATAGCAACAACTCAAAAAGTAATATATAACTACAAAAACGGCAAGGAGACCACATGTTCTGAGCTCCTCTAACCCTACAAGGGGAAGACAGGATTACCAGCAGTAACTCAAGGCCTATTACTGCAAGGCCAGACATGCTGCCTCCCTCCAGCCCTTTCGCCAACCGTTCCTCCCAAAGCACCCACCACCTCTCTCCTGGG